CAAAACTGTGGGCTTTGGAAGCTGAAAAATATTCGAAGTATAATAAACACAATAGCCTCTGTTTCACTTTTAAAATATGTTCGGATATTTTTCTTTGGACATTATCTGTTCCTCGGAGCTCGAAGTTTTCTTCGAGCTTTGCTCTCGGAAAACGGTACTCTTCTCGGAACATATAACGTCCGCGGGCAAATATCCGAGCACATTTTCGCGCCAAATGGAGGTTATTGTTTATAGGTATCCAGTGATCCAGCTAAGCATGCGATATTTTGCCATGGTGTGGAAAGAATTGCCAGTTACGCAGGTGTGAATAGCATTATGCTAAAGAAGTTTAACTTTCTCAGTCGTACAGCACAGCTTGAAAGATGGAGATGGAGTGATACTGGATTGCCATTTTCAGCGAAACCGAAGATGTACGACGTCGTACGTGTACACAAAGCCAAGAATTTAGTAGAGACTGGCCCTATCAGAGTTTACTGCTTCCTGATCACTAGCGACAATTTTCTGGAAATTGAAAACTGCAGCGAAAAACGTGCTTATGTTTGCGAAGGATCTGAAGGTAAAGAGTTGATTTACTATAGGACGAATGATATCTGACAACTCAAAACTATCACACTCAGTTAGTACTCTTGACTCGTCTAGATTAAAAGATAACTGTGATAATGTTATCTGACGATTTTAGAAAGTAGACGGTTATTGTTAGCATACAGGTATTTAGTTAAAATATCACACGTGACGCTTGCGTTAATGGTAAAAACAATTTTTATAAATCATGCTTTGTTTTTCGACATTCATTTTCTAATTTACGGAAACAAGCCGAGAATCCACGATGTCCTAGAATTGACTTAAGGCTTTTAACCACTGAGAAAAGAGAAAGTGATAATTTTTTTTTATTTTTTTATTGCATGTTTGCATCACAATCTTCTTTGACCATTCATTATACGAACCGATCTTGATCTTTGTAGTTTTATCAACAAGCATAACAGAGTCAAAGTCAACACAAATGCAACCCACAGCAGTGGCTACAACGTTGATGACAAAAGTAACAGCAATATTCCCAAGTAAAGCAACAGATACGACTAAGATATTGCCTTCAAAAACAATTAGTATTTCCACATTTGCGTCAGCCAGTATCTCACCAACACTACCAGCAAGTGCAAAGGAACAGGTGATTGTGTTTTTATTTTTCCTAAAGAGTGCAATCATAGCAGTATGTGTGTATGCATTGGTTTTTTTTTTTCCTTGATAGCCCACAACCCTTAAATCTATAGCTTTGAATAAAGATTCTTTAAATATATTTCTCCGTGCTTAATGTGTCGGTGGAAATAGATCTCTTTCCTTTTCCATTACAACAGAAATGCATTCATCCTCTTGCCTTCCCTGGGCACATAAAAAGCACACGACCTTTTAGTTTGTTTGTTTGCTTTTTCACACTTTCCACCAAACTTTAAAACAAATTCTACTGCATATTCGAATACAATGAAAACTCGGCCAAAACCATCGCACTTTTTTTCTGTCTTCGGTTTTCCTGTTTAAAGCAGTTTTCCTGTTAGACTTGGTACTGTAGGCACAAAATAGTATATATCGTATATTTAACAAATAGATTCCATGTTGCCGTGCGTCTGTTCAGTAATAGATCACAGATGACGTCAAAATGTGGCAAGAACAAAAAAGTGGCACACGAGGCGATAGCCAAGTGTGTCACTGATGTTCTTACCACATTTTGACGTCTTCTGTGATCTATTACTGAACAGA